GTGATCGTATATAAGGGACCAAATGTCAGATATAGTCTTATTCATTGGCCATTCTGTGACAATATATTCTTTAGATCGAGTGTAGCCCTGAATATAATAACAATATAATTAATTGAAGTGAAAATATTGGATTTCTGATGGAAATAGCTTACATCAACAAATACTGCATTTATATAGTCTGTACTCTCACTGGATTGAAACGATGATAAATATGGTCTAAAATTATCGGCTAAACAATAATAAAAAATAAAATTAATAATAGATTAAATGAAACAGAATTCTTGAAAACAAACAAAAATATTTTTCGTTTAAAAGAATATTGTTTGAGTAGAAAGTATGCAACGATTCTGTGAGTGTAATTATTTTAGTTTTTTACTTAAGGTCTGTGTGTGACATGTAAATCACGTAAATTGCTAGACAGACCTTCAAGTCATTATATTGTAACAGTAAAGACATTCATTTATCTTAATTAACAAGATATTGGTTACAAAACTGCTAGAAAAACTAATTCTGTAAACGGCTCATGCATTCAAAATTATATATTCTGTATTTACGTTAAAGATTAAAAGATAAACTTTTTATCTTAGTTGTTAATACAGTATTAATGAAATATTTATTTTTTTAATATTAATTAGAATGAAAGCTATCAACACACTTTATTGTCTTCTCATAAAACATTAAACTTTAATTAAATTAAACAATTATTTTTCAAATAAATCTTAAACTAAAGCTTATGTCAATAAAAGATCAATATCATTTTAAAAGAGTACGAAACTTTGCTCACACACACACACACACACACACACACACTCACACACACACACACCACTCACTTCCTTTCACTTATTAAATCTGAGAATTAAGAAAACTGACGACACTTTTAAAATGTAATTTAATTTTCAATTCATAAGTAGTTTAATGGAAACAGTAATAGAAGTGGTGAAGTCAAAGCTATTATTTAGAAAATTATTTTTATTTCATTTATAGCATAAGCTAACTTTATTCATATTATGTTAAAACTATATTTTGAATTTTATTTTGAATTGAATAAAATTTTGAAATTCTGCAATTTCTATTTTGTGTACATTTCACTGATTTTATGAAACGTTTAGGCGTTTGATATAAAAATTATTGATTTTATTATTTATATTTGTTATGAATTTTTTATGGCAAACGTTTTGAGCAAATGCTGTCTCTCAAACGCTTCATAAATATAATAAATATAATAAATATTTGCTAAAAGGGATTTTATTTTTCTTGGAAATAAAATATATTTTCTTTTTATTCGTAAAAACAAATGTCTATATTGTATATAAATTCAATAAAATTTCATAAATAATAATTTCAAAAATTATATAAACAAAATAATCAAATTATGTGAGTTTATATAATAACTGCATTATTATTGTTATATTAAAATTGAGATGGTTTAAAAATACTTTACTCCCATCTAATTATAAATGATATGAAATGAGTGAAACTTGTAGAATATTGGTGTCGGAAATCAATCATTTAACCATTTAATTGCTTATATTTACAGCTCATATCCAAAGTCGAGACCAATTCATGTCGTGTGGCAAACAAAAAGGAGAATCAAATGAAAAATAGTCATAAGAGATGCCTTCCCTGTAAGTCGACTCTAATTGCGTTTCCATTGCCTCATTGGATTACATTCATCTGTTTTTCTTAGCAAATAATTTCCTAAGTTTTCAATGCGTTTTCAATACTTGTATTTATTTTCTATGAGCAAAGATGATTACAATCGCTTTATATTGCATTCAACATCATTTCAAAGATCTAAATCTGATTACATAAACGCATCGCATATTGACGTAAGTTTTAAGCCATACTTATATTATAAGTTTATAGCAATAATAGCGTTGAAAAATTATTTTAAGCCCAAAATCATTGCTTTCACTTTTGCCAAAGTCAAAAACACTTTAAAATTAAATTACTTTCGATGCATTAAAAATCTCGCATTAAAAACACAATAAAATAAATTTCCACAGAAATTGTTAATACATTTAACGATTCAAGAGTACATTGGTTTACTTTTAACATAAACTTTTACGAGACATTTGCGTAAAAATGTATTCAAAAGTATATATGATTGAGATCTATTTGAGTTGACAGTTGCCTTTATGTCTATAATTAGAGTTTGGTTAGGCCGAACGCCTACATCTGTGCTCAGGGACCTAATGAGTATACAATCATTGACTTTTGGTCTATGATATGGCAAAGTCAGTCACATATGGTGGTTATGCTCACTAAAGTATTTGATTTCATACGTGTTATGTGCGCCCAATACTGGCCCACAACCATTAACTCATCCGAAGTGTACGGACCCTTTGAAGTGACGTTAATCGATGAGGAAAAGACTGCCGATTATGTGATCCGTACCATTAAACTCAAGTTTGGACCTAATGTTAGACTCATATTTGCTGACAATTCTGGAAATAAGATATTAATATTATATAATTGATTGACAATTTTTAAATCTAGGAAATCCTGAGATCGAAGCGTTCCGGAAGTTTAGATTCAGACTCAGGAGAGTATAGGATTATATATCAACTACATTACCACAGCTGGTCAGCCAACTCGTGTCCATTTTCCGACTCTATACTCAGATTTCGCAAAAGAGTTAAACTTTATTGCGAAGAATTACGTGATATTAATAATGGACCATTGATTGTTCACTGCAGGTATCCATGTTAAATAATTATTTGTAAAACTATTGATTAATTATTTGTAAAATTATAATTTTGACAATTAAGTGACGGGTGCGGCAGAACCGGAGCTTATGTATGTTTGGACGCAAACTTACAGTTGGCTGAAGAGGAAGGCTTTGTCGATGTTTTCAATTATACTAAACTATTGCGCGAATCTCGTAAAGGGATGATTGAAAACGAAGTGAGAATTTAAAATAAATTAGTTAAAAGTGACACAATTAACACCATGATCACTTTAGGAACAGTACCGGTTTATATATCAGACTCTCGAAGAATCTTATATCTGCGGCAAGACGTGGTTTCCTTCCAGTGATATATCACAACAAATGAAACACAAATCCCTTAAAAATCCAATAACTAAACAGAATGAATATCAACGAGAATTTCATGTAAATATACTGTATATTTGTTATCTATAGTCGTAGAAGTAATATCATAATTAATTTTTAAAATAAATTAAAACAATAAAACTAATTTATTAATAGTTATTTATAAATTATATTTTACATTCATGCCGATAGATTTTGGTAAGTAGTAAACATTGTAATTAAATTCTGTGCTTTATTGTCAAGTGCAAGTGCAGTATAAATGAACTATACTGTAAACACTATTATTAAACTAAATATTTAACGGATTATTTGTTGACTCTTTTGAATAGAAACTAATGAAAATGACTTCAAAGTTATCAATTGGTGAATGTGCTGGCGGTCATCGCATTGAGAACAGGGATAAAAATAGAGACGTTTCTATAGTTCCCCGTATGTCTGGCATTCAATAAAGAATATTCTATAGTTTGAAAGAAAAAACAAACTTTACAAATTTTTCGTTTCACTGAAATTCAAAAAAACATTATTTTATTATAACTAATGTAAAAACATGTCTAAAAGCTATACAGTATTATAGTCTCTTAAAAGGAATTTCAAAGAGTATTTCATATATTTTTATACAATTTTTTGTAATAAATTTCAAAGAAATGACAACTTTGTGTCAAAAGCAGTATCTGAGATATAATAACGTTAGATTTTGCAAAGTTTCGTACTCTTTTAAAATGATATTGATCTTTTATTGACATAAGCTTTAGTTTAAGATTTATTTGAAAAATAATTGTTTAATTTAATTAAAGTTTAATGTTTTATGAGAAGACAATAAAGT